CGCCCCCAGCAGGCAGGGCGGCGAGCAGACCGGCGAGGTGGCCGGGAGCGCCGCGCGCCAGCCGGGATGGGGCGAGGAGGCCCGCAGGGCACCCGCGGGAAGTGTCGCGAGAAGTGGCGGGGATCGCGCGAGAAGTAGCTCCTGCGGATGCAGGGTGCACCCAAGGCTCGGAGCTAGTGCTCGAAGGCACGCTGGGCCGGAGGTTTAACACTGCGCTGGAAACTGTACAGTGGAAAGGGAGGGACGCGGATGACAGCTGTCAAGGGGTACTGTGGGTCTGAAGGGAAGAAAGGTTCTCCAGGACCAGCCAGCGCCGCTCCCACTCACCAAAGGGGGAACCAGGCCTTTGACCTCGGGGTCCTCCTGCTCATCGCGCCCGGGTGTGGAAGCAGGACGCCAGTGCGGGCGGCAGCTGCCCTGCGCGGACCCGCCTCTGCGCTGCAGAGGACGCGCGCCAAAGAAACTCAGGAGCTTTGGCTGTCCGACCTGTGTTTATTAGGATTGAGAGCCTATCAAAAATGTAGTCCTCAAAGATGTACAAGTGTACTGGACAGGATTCGAAGACTACAAGGGAGGGCAGATTTTTTTTCCAAATGAGAGGATATAACTGCCGGAAAGTTTGGATGAATTTCCCAATCATGATGCTGAGTCACGAGCTCCCCTAAATAGTTTATTTTCTGGAAAACCTCAATTCCTTCGGTTATTAAATAAGTTTACTACTTTCTAACCAGATTTTAAAGCAGGGTTTCAGGAAATGTTTAGGGATTTTTTTTATTTCTTCCAAAATCGAGAAGAAGTACATTTTTATGACAAATTCTGTTTGCAGACTTAATAGCCACATATATGCACACAAATTTACTTAAAACTCCTCTCAGGTTTCTAGCTCCTAAATAACTTCATTTTTTGTAGCCACCACTATATTTTGAATGTATGATGGGTTGAACAGGACACTAATCCCATCATAAGTCTGCATCCACAGTATGAAATGGTAAAAACGGGTAACTGTATAGTGAACAAACCTGAAACTTCCTCAGTAAGGTAATAACATCAATGCTGTAATCACATAGAGTATATACCTTGATATGACAGATGAAACCCACAGCACCAAGAAAATTACAGGTATCACACAAATCCCAATAGGGAGACATTCTACCAAGTATAGCACCAATACTCCTCTAAACTGTCCAGGTCACCAAAAACAAGGAAAGTCTGAGAAACTGTCCCAGCCAAAATGCCCCTAAAGAGATATGATGACCAAATGATAATGTATCCTGGAAGGAATCCTTCAAGAAAAAAAAAAAAAAAAGATATTATGTAAAAAGAATCTAATGTATGGATTTACTTAATAAAAATGTAACAGTATCAGTCCACTAATTATGACAAATGACAACACTAAGATGTTATGGAATGAGATGATGTTAGGGAACAAGATGAGAGGCATATGGGAACTCTGCAGTATCACAATTTTTCTGCAAATCTGAACTAGAATTAAAGGCTAGGAGTGATGGAGCATGCCTGTAATTCAGCACTTGGGAAGCTGATACAGGGGAGATCACCTTGAAGTCAAAGCCAGCCTGAACTACAAGCAAGACTCTGTCTGAAAAAGAAAAAATTAAGCTTACTACAATAATCCAAATAGAGCCTGGAGTGGTGGCACACACCTGTAAGCCCAGCACTCAGGAGGCTGAGGCCAGCATAGTGAGCCCAAGGCAAGCCTGACCCACATAGCAAGACTGTTATGGTTTGTGACTAGATGTCTCCCCAAAGCCTCATGCAGTCTTAGGCTTTTTTGGAGGCTGAATCTAGTGTGTGATGTGATTAAGGGTGTGTGAGTGCTACATCAGCCCACTGATTGATTTGGCATCACCCTAAATCCAGCAGTCTAGATACAATGTATGAGACAGAAAAGTCTTATCTCCCCCACCTGTTGATTTGCTACTTTCTGCCCACCATGACTGTTCTCCACTGCTAAGCCACCTTACCTTGAAGCCAGCTGAATACGGACTAAAACCTCTACAGACTGAGAGCTAAATAAATCTTTCCTCCTTTAATCTTGGGTGTCAGGTATTTTGTCTCAGTGACAAAGAAAGTAAGACAGAATTTGGTACCAGGAGTGGGGTTGTTGCTGTGACATTACCTGGCCATGCAGTTCAAGAACCTTTGGAACTGGCTTGTGGGCAGGGGAAGAGTTAGGAAAGGTTCAGAAATGCCAACTGAAAAAGTGGAGCTGGAATGCTTTAGACTGTATTGTGTGGGAGATTCTGGTCAGAGCTCTGAAGGCCACAAGGCTGATAGAAATCCGGCCAGAAGGCTGATAGAAATCCTGCCAGTAAAGGCCAAGCTCTAGAGGTTTCTTCTGGGAAGAAGGACTGCATTGGTTGTTTGATTCCAAATTATGTGTGTTATGGCTTGGCAGGAAGTTTGCATTTTGCTCATTATCTAGAAACTGTCTGAGACTAAGATTAAGGGTGGTGGACTAATTAATCTGGCAGAAGAAATTTCAAGGCAGTCTAATGTTGATGTGGAGGCATGACTACTGTTGGGGGCTTTTAGACAAATTTACATTGAGAATCAAGAGCAAAGAGCCCAGCAGAATGACTTATACCATTGTGAGTTTGGCCAGAAAGAAAGCTCCAGTAAAGCTGTGGATGGCAAAGATAGAGGAGACTGATTGCTGAGAAGGAACAGGACAAGAAAAAAGATGGCCTGAGGGCATCAAAAGAAGCTGCAGGACTCCACCCTTTGCAGCTTCAAAATTGCAAAAGTGAAAGTCTTTGAGAAGAAAGCCCAGAGCACCAGGTTCCAGAATGGTGGCAGCCTAGAAAATTTGTGCCTCAGAATTGGATTCAGAGTGCTTAGCAATCCAGGCATTCAATACCTACAACTAAGAGCAAGGGAAGCCTAGCTATTGCTCCAGCTGGAAGCAGATCTTGGCATTATCCATGTGGTGCTGGTTTAAGGTGCATGCAGAATGGAAGAGCTGTGGGGTTGGGAAGGCTTCCACCCAGATTTCAGAAGGCCTGGGAGACCAGAGAGTGTGACCCTGCAAAGGCACTGTGTGAAACTGAGTGTGAAGCCAAAGGTGCAGTGGAGACCCCAGAAGTTTGGAGAAGCCAGGAACATAGCTTGCACTACAAGGAGGGAGCAGAGCTGGCCCAAGAGAGGAGCTATGAAAGCTACAACTACCGTAAGTGCCATAGGGGTGGAGCCACCCAAGCCCTTTGGAGTTCACATCTTGCCACAGACTGCCTGGGATGCTGCACATGCAACTACAGGATTTAATCTTTGCCCTGCTGGATTTTTAACTTCTTTGGGTCCCATTCCTTTGTATTCTGTTAACTTTTGGAATGGAAATATCTATTTTATGGTAGTGAATGTTGGAAGTGTTTAACTTTCATTTGTACAGGGACTCATAGCTCAGAATTTGCCCAAATCTCAGGAGACTTGGAATTTGGAATTTTCAGGAATGCTGAAACTGTTAGGACTTCGACAACTCTTAGACTAAATGTCTTTGCACAAAGGGATGTGCATGAGTTTGGGGAGCCAGGGGTGGAATGTTATGGTATATGTCTAGATGTCCCCCCAAAAAACCTCATGTGGTCATAGGAATTTTTCAAAGATGGCTGAATCTAGAACATGTAATTGATGTGTAGTGCAATGCTGGGATGAAGGGTGATGGGATTAAGGGTGGGTGATTGCTGGATCAGTCCACTGATTGGGTTGGTAGCACTCTAATCCTCATAGACTGGATATAACGGACAGGAAGAGACTTGTGTCTCTCTCTCCTCTTGTTGCTTTTTTGTCTTCTGCTGCCATGACCTGCTGCCCCTCTGCC